GTTAGGTTGTTTGTTTGTTAGTTAGTTAGTTAGTTAGTTAGTTTGTTTGTTTGTTTGTTTGTTTGTTTGTTTGTTTGTTTGTTTGTTTGTTTGTTAGTTAGTTAGTTAGTTAGTTAGTTAGTTAGTGTTCTTTTTTTGTCAGCTGCAGTGATAATGTTTTTTCCTGCATGTTTTTGAGCCAAATATTTGACCAACCCTCAGCTGGACAAATGTTAACAAGACTCCAGGATGAATTAATTATTAAATGAAGTTGTGTATTTTACAGTCAGCCTGACTGATGCCTGCCACAGCTGAATTTACAAACAACAGTGTTACAGTGTTGTGTGGTAGTAGCTGAGACTGAGCTCCAACACAAACTCTGAGCTCCAACAGACTGAAGGAAACTTCTGGAGAAAATGTTGACAAAAACTATATAAAGTAAAATCCAGAGGTGTAACAAAGTTGGTTTACATTTAATTTGACCAAGTAGACTAAATTTAACTTTTATTTTGTTACATAAAAATATAACTTTTTTACTTTAAATTTATCACCTTAGGCTACAAATTTAAATAAGACCAAAACTCATCATGAATATGAAGAGTTTCCAGTTGTTCCACTAAACTAAGCTGAGTAAAAGTAAAGCTGGTAGTAACTGAGAGTTATGACTCATCACCTCTGAACAGGAGATAATCTGTGTGAAACTAAAATAAAAGGAGATATTCATTATTCTAAACCTTTAATTTAATAACCTGAATTTAAACGCGTTGTTTGTATTTTATTGTGAAAACCCAGATATTTATATTTGTGAAGGTGTTTTAAATTAACTTCACTGACTCACTCAGCCCTGCWGSTGAAGAAGAAGAAAAACACTCACATTCCTGCAGACCAGCGCTTTGTCCTGCTCCGGGTCCTCCGGGAGTCCACGGTCAGGATCAGGGTCAGCCACAGGACCAGGACCTGCAGGGACCTGCCAGAGCACAGCATGATGTTCAGTGGGAGGCTGGCGTCCTGAGGGGGGCTCTGAGACCACTACATCCCCTCCTCAGAGCTCCGAGTCTGGGCTGAACCAGTGCAGCGCCCACCGGCAACCTTCCAAAGACGGAGTGATGGAGCCGGAGGAGCGCTCTGATTGGTCCTTATACTGAGGAGAGGCGGGCTCTGATAGGTCCTTACACTGAGGAGAGGCGGGCTCTGATTGGTCCTTACATTAAGGAGGGGCGGGCTCTGATTGGTCCTTACATTGAGGAGGGGCGGGCTCTGATTGGTCCTTACATTGAGGAGGGGCGGGCTCTGATTGGT